ATCTCTGTAAGCTGAAGGCAGTGAGGGATGATGATGACGATGGGATGGAGGCAGGATGAGATGAGGAGGGGAGGAGGGAGGGAGGAGGAGGCGAGCGCTCGAGTTCTGTCGCCTTGGGTGCATCAAGCAGCAGGAATTGTTTTCTGACTGCTCTGTCACCCTCAGCAGAACAGAAAGGCTTTTCTTAAAAGTGCTCGGCCACAGATGGTTCGGAGTCCGACACGCTCGGAGGTTTTTAACACATACAAAGGGAGAATGCTGAAAAACCTCCGGCGAGAAATGCAGAAAAAGAAGAAAACGTCGAAGTTTGTGGGAAAAGAAGCTCCTGTTGAACGTGTGCGTGGGCAGGCTGCGAACATAGCTGCCCAGGATTCACAGAAAATTAGGAAGGTTTGAAGATTTAAGCGTGAGAAATGCACTCATGGTGGGAGGAGTGAACCTCACACACGTCAGGCTTAACAATCCATGAAGGAATGCAGATCGCCCGCTTTACCCCCGAGCTTTAGACTATGATCACTTTACGTTGAGATATAGCTGTACGAGTCACAAAAAAGCTCCAAACTAATACCACGTCAAATTTTATTTCTATATTTGTAAAACTGACTGAGTTGTACGTAAGGGGTACACCAAATGATTAGTTTCTAAAAGTTTGATTAAAATCTGTCAAGTAGGTCATGAGTTGTGTTGCTAACAGAAAAAACAGTGCTGGCTCCAAAGTTTTAAGCAAAGTGTGAAATAGCACTTGAAGTATGTACAATTTGTGAAAAGCGCTCAAATACTACCACACCAAGTTTTAGTTCAGAATTTATAAAACTGACTTGTCATTTTTGTGGTTTTTTTTTGGGTCAGTTGGCTGTGGCAGCCATCTTGAATCGGTTGACACCAAGGTTGTAGCTGTGTCCAAATTTAGGGACTGCGTCTTTCACAGGCCACATTTATCAGCCGTTTGTGTCACTTCAACTGAAGGCTGTCCCAATCTGAAGACTCCTCCAATATCGTCCTCTGTTTTCTCCGATTTGAGGGATGGGTCCRGTGGATCCTAATCGACCACCCTATCCCAAGATGCATTGCAGGTTGACCAGAGATTCTTTTTGTTTTGCTTGTAATGGAGGATGTAGTGAGAGAAAGGAGTATGATTTTAAATAAAAATCTGGCGGTATAAAAATTTAAAGTTTAAGGCGGTTGTGATGTTAATGCTTTTGTTATTTGCATAGATGTGTTTTTAATATTCTTGTCAGAAATCAAGCTCGTATATGACAAGTTCAAGTTTAGTCTCTGAGCTAATTTTGTTCATTTCTAATATTAATAACATTAATATATTAATATTTTGCTACTTTTGATCTAAAATTGCTTCTATATTTGCTTCTAAGGGCTGGAAGGCCGTCCAAATTCACATCCAATTTTTTCCAGTCTTTGCGGTCAACAAAAGACCCGGCCCACCTAGACCGAGTAGGTCAGATCCTTTGAAGGATGCGACCCCGGAATTTGGACACAGCCTACGTCTCAATTCAGWGGTTGCAGCCCATGTAGGGCACATTTTTCTGCTGCTTATGTAACTGCAGTAGGCTGTTCCAATTCCATGGTGCCTACTCATGTGGCTGACAAAATGTAGGCTGCATCTGAGTATTCTACGTGGCCGACAAGAACCCAGGACTGATTACGTCGTCGGCAAACTTAACAGAAAAAACAAAGACGGCGGACTTTGATTTTTTTTTTTTTATGGCAAAGTTTGGAAATTCATCACAGACCAAATCTTTTCTTTTTAAATGTACGTTTAGCAACTTAGCTGACAAAACTTTTTGCTTCAATGAAATGTTAAATAAAATGCAATTACAAATACTGATATTGGAGGTAAACCCAAATTATGAATGTTTTGTTCCTTCTTCTAAAAATTCAACACATAAATATGTGTTGCATTTTTGGAAGTTGGAAGTTTGGATTCTCATTTGACTTATCGTGATCATGTATAAGTCTTAACCACTAAGTTGAAACAGAAATTATACGTTTATTCAAAAATTAGATCCAATCTGACATCTTCTGTTTCAAATATCTATCTTCATGCCATTATACTCTCAACCATGTCGTACTGTTTACCTGTTTGGTCTCTTACAACAAATGAAATCTTAGAACCCATAGTTAGGCTCTACAACAGGGCCTACAAAATTCATAAAAAACTTCCTGGTTGGACTCATCACTGTACAGTTCTTTCATTTTCTGATGCCTTGACATTTCAGAATTATGTTTTGTATAGTGGTATTAATTTRTATTTTCAGATCTTCCAAGGTGCCAATTATGGAACTCTCTGTGCATTGCTGCCCAAATCAAATTCCGGAAGTGGGAATTCAACTACATCTATTACAAAAGGACAACTGATATTACCAACTTTTAAAAACTGTTACGACAGAGGTCTTTCTTCTATGTTTATACTAAAGCATGGAATGACATTCCTCAAAACATAAAGTCCATTTCAAAACTACAGCCCTTTAAGAAKAATCTTGTCTGCCATCTGCTGGACACTTTTTGTTGTGCTCATATTTAGACGTCCTATTTTGCAAATGCTGCCTTCCTGAAATTTGGTATGCTTGTTTGTCTTTGTGTCTATGGTGTATAATGATGTGATTGTGATGCTGTATTTCTGAGTGTTTTATGTGCTGCAGAACAGGAAACTGCTGTAAAACAGCAATAATGCTGAGTCAGGCTTGATTATTAATAATCTTTTCCTGTTAAATAAATAAATCAAATCAAATCAAGTTACACCTCTTGTGAAAAGACCTGTGAATACATGTTCCAACTGAAGGCATGATATGGTAACAGGACAGTGCATGGTCATGCAAACATACGTCATCCATAGACTAGACGGTCTCATTTCACAGCCGTTTTATGCAGTCTACATTGGCGGCCTACGGCCCACGTAGGGTGTGGCCTACTTGAGCTGCAGTCTACATGGGCTGCAACCCCTGAATTGAGACACAGTGCAAATGTTACTCAGTGCTCAGGTCTGCGAGATATTTTATGAAAAGGTAAAAAAAGGTAAAAACATTCCAGTATGCCATTGCCGCTCTTCAGCGTGTGGTAATAAAACCAGTAAATGATGGTTTGGAGGTGAACATGRCGCGTAAGCTGAAAGCCGTCTCCCACTTCTAAGCATGGTGTAATTCAGGCCATCACTCCTCAATAAGGCAGGCGAATGGGCCTCAGGGGTGACCCTATACTGCTTAAGTCAACACAATGAGTGTAATTAGGTGGACTGCACACACAGACACACACACGAAGGAGGGAGCTGTGAGGCATAGTAATGGAGGGGATTTCATTCATCTGCATGCACTGGACCTGATGCTGACGTTTCTCTTACAGACACACATTTAGCAGCCGTCCAAGAGAGAAAATCACGACAATGGGACAGACGGCGATCATGTAAAGTCCACGGTCTGACATGTAACACATTTTAAAGACTTATTCTCAATGTCACCAAGACATGGTGAAAAAAGCCCACTAAACTGATATTAAAAGATGAGGTTTATGTTTGAGCTGATTTGTTCAAAGTCCAAAAATAATTAAAAGTCTAGCATTCTTTGAAGGAATGCATATCGCCCATCCCCTTTCATGACAAAATGTAATGTTCGGAGTATGTAAGGATGTATTTCAGCTACAATCACACAAACTTGACCTCATTATCTGCCATTTTGAGTAAGTTGAAGCCGTGCCRTGTTGGATCAGCTGCTGTGGCCATGGGTTGCCTCTAAAAATTAGTCAGCTATCCATCTTTTTTTTGAGAAATTTTATTGAAATTTATTTAATGGCTCACATGATAATTTGCAAACAGAGTTAGTATTTGATGGCAAAGTTTTAAAAATCGATCTGTTCAGGTAGTGTTTGGACTACCACACCAAGTTGGGCCTCAATAGTGCCACTTAGCTGAAGCAGCTTCCTTTAGTTTATTTATTTGACCAGGCACATCACATTGAGATCAAAGATCTCCTTTGCAAGGGAGGCCTGGGTCTGTGTTGAAAATGCATGTTTTTGGTTTCAGAGAGGAAACCGGAGTACCTGGAGAAAACCCACAGAAGCACAARGAGAACATGCATYCAAACTGGGGCTCAAACTAGAGACCAACCACTAATCCATCCTACTGTCCAATCACCTTGAACAAAATAAACCGTCAAATCATTTGTAGGTTTCCATCCAGTGACCACTTTCTGAGAGTTTCATCATGAGGTACTTTGCTAACAGACAGGACAAAGAGGCATTTTGGGGGCAAAATGCCTCACCTCAGATAGCTGCAACAATCATTCAAAGTGTGAATAAGGAGGACTGGTGGCGTCCTCCTAGTAACCCACCCCCTCCGGCCACCACTGGATTAATGAAAAGGAGACCCCTCCCCACCTTCCTTTACACACACACACACACACACACACAC